TGCAGAATCATACCAAATCCGCTGTCGAGCAAACGAAAGTGACAGTATCCGAGATAGACAGAGCGCTTCACAACCTCTTCTCGGTAAGAATGAGGCTAGGACTGTTCAATGGCGACCCCAAGAAACAACCTTTCGGCAACATAGGCCCGGATCAGGTCTGCTCCCAAAAGCATCAAGATTTGGCTCTCGAGGCTGCTCGAAGCGGCATTGTGCTTCTGAAGAACAAAGAAAAGCGTCTGCCTCTCCGGAGATCGAAGTCCACGTCGGTTGCTGTAATAGGCCCCAATGCCAACAATGCCTGGAAGCTGCTCGGGAACTACGCGGGACCGCCATGCAAGTCTGTGACGCTGCTGCAGGCTCTGCAGAGTTACGTGAAGGACACGAGGTATCAGCCGGGTTGTGACGATGTAGTGTGTTCGTCACCATCGATTGCCCAGGCCGTGGAAGTAGCGAAAGCAGCAGATCACGTGGTGCTGATCATGGGGTTAGATCAAACTCAAGAGAGGGAGGACTTCGATCGTGTGGATTTGGTCCTCCCCGGCAGGCAACAAGAGTTTATCACCACCGTCGCCCAAGCTGCGAAGAAGCCGGTCATTTTGGTGCTTCTTTGTGGAGGTCCTGTTGACATAAGATTCGCCAGAGATGATCAGAACATCGGAAGTATCTTGTGGGTCGGTTATCCTGGTGAGGCTGGTGGGATGGCGTTGTCAGAAATCATCTTCGGTGAACATAATCCTGGTAAAATCCTATGATCCCTCTTTTTTTTTGGTTCTTCTACCTGAGTTTCTTGAAAAAATGAGGAGGTGGTGATTCAATTCTTTTACTTATGAAACAGGAGGGAGATTGCCAGTGACTTGGTATCCACAGGAATTCACCAGAGTGCCTATGACTGACATGAGGATGAGGCCTGAACCATCCACTGGCTATCCCGGGCGTACATACCGGTTCTACAAAGGCCAATCAGTTTACGAGTATGGATACGGGCTTAGCTACACGGAACATTCTTACAAGTTCACGTCTGTTACCAAGGAACTTTTCTACCTAAACCTATCCCCTAAATCTCAACCTGATGAAGCCTCGGATGCCTCCCCTCGGTACAGACCGGTTTCAGATTTGGGAGCAGAGTTTTGCAAGAAGAGCAAGTTTGAGGTCAGAGTCGAAGTCAAGAACCATGGCGACATGGCGAGCAAGCACCCGGTGTTGCTCTTTGTGAGGCATGCGAAGCCGAGCAGCGGGAGTCCAATGAAGCAGCTGGTGGCCTTCCAGAGTGTGGAACTGAAGGGGGGCAAAACCACGGAGGTCCAATTGGCACTGAACCCTTGTGACCACCTGAGCCGAGCCGATGCAAATGGTGTGATGATAATAGAAGAAGGGTGGCGCTTCTTGGAGGTGGGAGATCAAGAATACCCGATCACCGTGATGGCATGATATGTGAATTTGGCCAGTCGTTAATCTTGCAATTTTAAGGATTTTATTGCTTCCTACATACTTTGATTAGCGTTTCATTTGGCAAGTGTAACAAGAAAAGATTTGAATGGCAAGTTCTGCTCAATTGTACACGAATTGGATCAAAAAGGAATGAGCATAATGAATTTTCAAGTAGTTTTCCATTTATTCCTTCGCCTTGAGAACTAGTCGTGCTCCAAACTATGTTGGCAAGCCCATTTTCCCTATTTTTTTTAATCTCGAGATTCACGTATGTTGCACGTATATCTCCATTTGACTTTGATTGTGCATATTTTGATTAAAATATTATCTTAAAATAGTTATCTAATATAGTATATTCTTCATTAATATATGCATTGAAATATACAAAAATTCCACAAATCGATTTTCTGCAGGAACCCTAGTGCACGGTGCATTAGAGTTTGGTGGCGGTGTCGGCTTTTCGAAACAAGAAGTAAAAAGTCGAGAATCGAAGGTCAAAAGCGTGCGTCCTTCGTGGTCGACTTTGCTATTGGAGTCCAACAACATTCGTTCTTTGCTGTTAAAACAGTCGACTTAGAGACGCATCGCCGGCATTGTAACACGACCAGCATGGTGCTTGGCCAAACGCAAATGGGATTGCCTCTGGAAAGGAGACTCGAAACTCTATGATAATTTCCTAGGTTTGAGATTATTATTATATTTATGTTGATTATCCGTATCTCTCAAGATTCCAAGTATATCTCCCTTTGATGGTGCATATCTTGATTGAGATATTATCTTCCAAAAGATATCTAATAAAGCATATAAATAGGCTATGTATCTTTCATTAATATATATTGTGAAATATACATAAATTCCTCAAATCTATCTTCCGCATTATTCTCAACTCTTGACCTTAATTAACTTGCAATATTTGTGTCAAGTCGATTCAGGTGATAGCAGAAGACATGGCGGATACATTCCAGGTGAGAAGGCCAGTAGGATCATGTGCGCTTATAACCGGGTCAATGGCATCCCCAATTGTGCAAGCTACAACCTCATCTCCAACACTGCCAGTCGACAATGGTCTTTCCACGAGTAAATAAGTGAAATGGCATGTCCTCATTTTACTTAGATGGTTTGTTGACTAATAGGAGGTGAGCTATGGCACGTACATAACATCGGTTTGCAACGCCATCTCCATCATATACGACACTCAAGGGTATGCCAAGGGATGCCATGGCCGATGTCCTCAAAGCCGGTATGTAATGCATTGCTTAGCATTTTCATGAACAACCTCATGGCTAGACTCAAATTTACATGAGTCCTGTCTATCAGTAAAATTTTTCGCCGCCCTAAAACATAACGGTATGTCAAATGCATCAAGTTACGTAATGCTGTGTGATAATCACCTAATATTTCTCTTGTCAAGAGAAAGTATCTAAAGAAACACACTCATGAGATCTCGATTATCGGAGAGTAAATTAAAGAGAGAATTTTTTTGGTCGAATCATAAAGAGAGAGATCACTTCATTAGGAAAATTACTTTTGTTATGGCCTTTTCAAATCACGAGTAAGATTCTAAAATGATCTTTTTTACTCAACATTTGTATGCCTTACAAGATTTCGGGTAGTAATAATGATGGAAACATTACATTAGAAACAAGATTAAAGCTTTGATCAACTATAAAGAAATGGTTAATCTTTTAATCTTGGTCGATGAAATAAGAGTTGATAAGTGTTAGCTTGGGCTACCTCATTATTCAGATTGGTCCATCATCTCTTATCCTGAAGGCTCTAGGCTAGAGAAAAAATAGGCTCTTAGTGAAGTTGTGAAATGAATTGCTAGCTAAAGTTTTCTTAGTTTAGTCCTCGATAAAGAAAGTAGCTAGGCTTGTTAGACCTACCTCTCTCACTGCAATAAGAGTTCATATTGGATAATCTGATTCTAACTGCCTTATCGGAGGCCATACTTCTAGTCTATGGCCTTAGTCAGTTCCAAGACCCAGGTCGAGCCCTAAATACAATTTTTTAGATCTTGCCTTTCAATGAATACAACTCCTTCAATCCCTCTTGCTCTTTCTTCTCGGGCAGTCTTCTCTTTTTTCTTCCTAGCTTCACAGAGGTTTGTATTTTTCAGCTAGAAAGCATATGAGGATGCTGAAACCTCTTTGCGCAACTCCGTATTTTCAAATAATAATATCCTCTTTTAGGAAAGCTAGCCTCGGTTCGTTCCTTACTTTAGCACTCCAATGTAATGGGTTAGCTTTCTCACGTACTTTGCTTCTAACTATCTTAAGTGTGAAAACTTTCAATACGACTCCTCTTAGCTCTTACCCTAGCTACCAAGAGTACTTCAAGAGATTAGGATTCAATTAGCAAAGGCTTATGATTGGCTTAAGTCAAGCTAGTCTAAAGTAGATTCATGATTAGGGCAAAGGGTGGGAGTAGATGGTTCTTCCTTCCAACCATTGAATTGACGAACACATCTATTCTAACAATGTAGCTATCTTAGAAATTAGTGGATCTATCTAGAAATTTATGAAAGAAGAAGTGTATAATGGATTGCCATTGTCTCGGTCAATAATCTCGTACGCCGTATATTACGTATTCAGTTCAATTAAGAAGCCCGAAAAAGATGACCCTTATCAACCAATGCTGCCCGAGTGCTCAAAATCTTTGCTTTCCTCCCGGGTCGAGGCTGCTTGCTAATTTTATTGAGTGATCACTAGGCCAGAGGCAACCCTTTTCCTAAGGAGTCTTGTTCTATTAGGTTTACTGCTCGATCAAACTGCCATTCTCTTCGAAGGCCTTTCTGATACAGTAAGTGGGCATTCAAATAAGCCTTTCTTTGTTGAAGTGCTACAACTCGCTCATTCGGAGTAATTAAACTACCCCTTACCCCCTAATTTTGCGGTACCTTTCCTTTATCGTCGAGGGTAGCAACACTCCTCTGAATGGTCAGGTACAATCATAGCTTCATTCATTCGTTGAACCTTGGGGATAACTGTTAACATTGAGGTCAATCACCAATCATACATACGATATTACATGACGTGAGAGTGCATGGTCAATACTCACCTAAAGCTCCTACCTTCAGCTTGCAACCAATATACAACAACAACCTAACTTGCACGAGATTCAACAACCGAAGCTACCAGTAATTCCGAGGGAATGACATCCTCCTATATTAGTTAGCAGTACTGAACAAGCGAGTCATTAGTTCAGAGAAAGAGAAAGAGAAAGAAAAGAAAGCAGCTGAATGGATTCGCATTCCATTGAAGTAACATGACAAGATAACGCCGATCGATGAGACTAGGCAATTATTTGAAACCAAATTGGTTACTTCAAATCCTTATTTGGAATAATGCCCGCTTCAGACTCATTTCGGAGAAAATACACTCACTTCACACTCTTATTTAAAATTTTTCCAAACCAAACCAGTGACCACTAACATGATTCGACAAGCACGATCGTAAGTCGAAAAGCTTTTGACTTTTCTCCGTTAGAAAAGGGCCCCACTCCGAGGCATTCTTTCCCTCCTTCAATAAATTTTTTAAAGAGTTTTCTTCCCAGAAAAAGAAATGAAAAAGGACAAGAATGGAGTTCTCTTCCTTAACACCCACTGCTCAGCTCCGCTCTCACTGTCTCTCTCACTTCAGAAGCCACTCTTCACACTCCCACACTCTCTCCATTCTCCAAGAACCCAACCAAGATGAGGAACCGCCACCTTGTCCAAATCCTCTCCCTACTCATCGCCCTCGCCTCCGCCTCCGCCTCCGCCCAGCCGCCGCCGTTCTCGTGCGGCCCGTCGAGCCCCTCCGCCAAGTCCTTCCCCTTCTGCAGGGCCTCGCTGCCCATCGTCAAGCGCGCCCAGGACCTCGTCTCCAGGCTCACATTGGACGAGAAGATCTCGCAGCTGGTCAGCTCCGCCCCGGCCATCCCCCGGCTCGGCGTCCCCGCCTACGAGTGGTGGTCCGAGTCCCTCCACGGCGTCTCCAACGCCGGCCGCGGCATCCGCTTCAATGGGACCATCCAGTCCGCCACCAGCTTCCCCCAGGTCATCCTCACCGCCGCCTCCTTCGACGTCGACCTCTGGTACCGCATTGGCCAGGTAAGCTCGCGACTCCCAAAAGACCAATCGCCATTTCAAGAAACGGTGCCCCCCAAAAACAAGAAACGTGACCCGACCCGAACCGAACCGAATCGGTGGCATTGCAGGTGATAGGGACTGAGGCGAGGGCAGTGTACAACGCGGGGCAGGCGACGGGGATGACGTTCTGGGCGCCCAACATCAACGTGTTCAGAGACCCGAGGTGGGGGAGAGGGCAGGAGACGCCCGGCGAGGACCCGCTGGTCACCGGCAAGTACGCCGTCTCGTACGTGCGAGGCGTCCAGGGGGACGCCTTCCAGGGCGGAGGTAAGCTCCGTGGGAAGCTTCAGGCGTCCGCTTGCTGCAAGCACTTCACCGCCTACGATCTGGATAACTGGAAGGGCGTGAACCGGTTCGTCTTCGATGCACGGGTCAGTCACTACTGGCGCTCCGTACTCTCTCTCCCGCATCTGTTTCTCCATTCTTTATCGCTTTTTCTCCAACGTTTGGCGGAATTCCCGAGTGTCTTTGTCATGTGGGTTTAACTTAATGTTTGGTATGCTTTGGAAGTTTGTGTCTGGCTTTGGAGCGGTTCTAGGACACGGTTCAAAGATTCCTGTCCCTGCCCCATAAGTTAAAATGCCAAATTAGAGCATGTGATTAGAGCAGATGCCCATTAATTGGGGCTTGACTGATTATTGGCTTTTATAAATAGTAAAGCGCTGCACACCTGCTGTTTTATTCTAGGATAAGAGGAAATAAGATAACAATAGTCGCTGGTACAGAAAAAGAAAAAAAAAACTAAAGTGAATTCGGCCCATACATGAGTGAATTTTATAAAGTACGTTGTGGGTCATGATCGTTATCTGAATTTAATTTATGGAACTAGTGGTAGTGGGTCAAGATCTGAAAAAGGCCCGACTTCTGCTATTTACACTTCCTTAGAAAGATGTGGTCGAGGGTTTTCTTGTTCTTATTTTTTTTTTATATAATAAAGCTAGGAAGATAGGTTAACGCAATGTCTTCATGTGTTAGGTGAGTTTGCTCATTGTGAGGAAAAAAAAGGGTATATTATCATGAATAGTTTTCCATGCCATTGTTAATCTAAACGAAAATACAATGAAAACAAACAACAGTGGGATGATGTGTAGTGTATGCCTTTTCAAAGCACGAGACAGCAGCTCGCCGAAAGTAAACCTCCATTTTGTCTAAAGCTACAATGGAGTGAACTTGATTCTCCTTCCGACGCCTAAGGCATGGACCATGGAAGTCGCTTTTTAAGTTACCATTTTGACCTGATTAGGAACAGTCGTGGTTTGGGTTGATAGTTGGACTGCTGGGCCTTAATTAACTTGCGATGTTTGTGTCGGGTCGAGTAAGGTGACGGCACAAGACATGGCGGATACGTTCCAGCCGCCGTTTCAGAGGTGCATTCAGGACGGGAAGGCCAGTGGGATCATGTGCGCTTATAACCGGGTCAACGGCGTCCCCAGCTGTGCCGACTACAATCTCCTCTCCAACACTGCCCGTCGGCAATGGTCTTTCCACGGGTAAATAAGTGAAAGTGGCATGTCCTTTTTTTTTTTCACTCCATGACTTTTGTAGAGAAGATGATGATGGCTTGTTGACTAATAGGAGCTGAGATATGGCAGGTACATAACATCGGACTGCGATGCCGTCTCCATCATATATGACAATCAAGGATATGCCAAGACGCCAGAGGATGCTGTAGCCGATGTCCTCAAAGCCGGTATGTTAATCCATTCCTTAGCATTTTCATGACACAAGCTCATGGCTAGTCTCAAATTTACACGAGTCATGTATATTAGTAATATTTAGCGATGCCCTATAGCTTAACGGTATGCTAAATGCGTTGAGTTAGGTAATAATCACCTAATATTTCTCCTATCAGGAGATGGTATTTAATAAACACACTCACGAGATGTTGATTACCGGAGAGTAAACTAAAGAGAGAGATCACTTTATTAAAAAAATTACTTTTGTTATACTCTTCAAATCATGAGATTCTAAATGATCTTTTATAAGTAGCAGTTGTACGGCTTACAAGATTTTGGGTGTATAATACGAAATAGGTCATATTGTGATTGATTTTCTTCACAAACCGCGTGGTATTGTACATAATATAGCTACCCTTCATAGTGTTCTCTTTTTCTTTTTCTTGTTTTGCTGAAACTCCACATATCTGGGTAGTAATAGTGACGGAAACATTACTTTAAAAGCAAGATTAAATCATTAATCAACTTTAAAAAAATGGCGAATCCTTTGATCTTGGTAGATTAAAACAAGGATTGAGGATATGAATGGGACCACCACAAGCTGATCTTATGTTATTGTTCAGATTGGTCCATCGTCTCTTATCCTCGAGAGTCAAATGCCTTGGCCCTTTATGTTGCCTTTTCTTCAACAGGTTCTGTGAATCTGTCCCAAGTAGTCGCATGCATTCTTTTGATTTTTTTTTTCTTGGTATCTTTTTGGCATATTTTCTTTATGTTTTTCTTTTTAGCATTTGAGATTTCATTTTCGACGAATGGTCCAGCGTTAGAATATCTCTCTTTGATTTGCGAATAGTCGAGCCTTGGCATGGCATGTCCTTGGAACTTCATGCCTGCAAACAATGTTCGGCTTTGGACCATTTCAGCTGTCGGTTTCACGCATGAATTGAATGATACTGAAGAATGAAGGTTCAGATCACTCAAGACAGATGAAAAAGAGGGACGAAAAGAAACACAAAACAGGAGATCCGATCACGTTATGGCCTAGGCCCTAGCAAATTCAATTATTGTGTGCGCCCCACAAGCAAGATGGCCTTTTTCTTTACATAGGAACGGGAAAAAAGGAGAATCCCTTAAAAGTGTCTTTCCAAGTTGCGATTTTATTTTTTTTAAATGTGTCCTTTTGTCGCTTTTAGAGGAAAAAATGTGGAAATATGAAAACAATTTGTGATAGAATTTTCTGTAACTTCTATTGTTTCGACAGCATCGACCTTCACTCATGACCAAAACATTTAGCAAAGATCACAATTTGTGAATCCGCAGTTTGCAAACAACAGCACTGGATCAGTTGTTGATTGCCTTAGAATTGGCAGGATACTACACCATTGATCACCAAAATCACCAGTCACCTCACTTTTTCTCAATCAGTGGAAATAGGAAAAAATCACCAAGTATGCTTTCGGTTTTGGACGAAAGAATCGCGATGGAAGCGAAATTTGTGAAGTTAACATCATCGGATGGTTCTGAAAACCGCAGGAATGGATGTCAACTGTGGAACCTACCTGCGGAATCATACTAAATCCGCTGTCAAGCAAAAGAAAGTGTCAGTATCCGAGATAGACAGAGCGCTTCACAACCTCTTCTCGGTAAGAATGAGGCTAGGACTGTTCAATGGCGACCCCAAGAAACAACCTTTCGGCAACATAGGCCCGGATCAGGTCTGCTCCCAAAAGCATCAAGATTTGGCTCTCGAGGCTGCTCGAAGCGGCATTGTGCTTCTGAAGAACAAAGAAAAGCGTCTGCCTCTCCAGAGATCGAAGTCCACGTCGCTTTCTGTATTAGGCCCCAATGCCAACAATGCATGGAAGCTGCTCGGGAACTATGCAGGACCGCCATGCAAGTCTGTGACGCTGCTGCAGGCTCTGCAGAGTTACGTGAAGGACACGAGGTATCAGCCGGGTTGTGACGATGTAGCGTGTTCTTCGCCATCGATTGCCCAGGCCGTGGAAGTAGCGAAAGCAGCAGATCACGTGGTGCTGATCATGGGGTTAGATCAAACTCAAGAGAGGGAGGACTTCGATCGTGTGGATTTGGTCCTCCCTGGCAAGCAACAAGAGTTCATCACCACTGTCGCCCAAGCTGCGAAGAAGCCGGTCATTTTGGTGCTTCTTTGTGGAGGTCCTGTTGACATAAGATTCGCCAGGGATGATCAGAACATTGGAAGCATATTGTGGGCCGGTTATCCTGGTGAGGCTGGTGGGATGGCGTTGTCGGAAATCATCTTTGGTGAACATAATCCTGGTAAAATCCTATGATCCTTCATTTCTTGGTTCTTGTACCTGAGTTTCTTGAAATAATCAGGAGGTCGTGATTAAATTCTTCTACTTATGAAACAGGTGGGAGATTGCCAGTGACTTGGTACCCACAAGAATTCATCAGAGTGCCAATGACTGACATGAGGATGAGGCCTGAACCATCCACTGGCTATCCCGGGCGTACATACCGGTTCTACGAAGGCCAATCGGTTTACGAGTATGGATACGGGCTTAGCTACACGGAACATTCTTACAAGTTCATATCTGTTACCAAGGAACTTTTCTACCTAAACCTATCCCCTAAATCTCAACCTGATGAAGCCTCGGATGCCTCCCCTCGGTACAGACCGGTTTCAGATTTGGGAGCAGAGTTTTGCAAGAAGAGCAAGTTTGAGGTCACAGTCGAAGTCAAGAACCATGGCGACATGGCGAGCAAGCACCCGGTGTTGCTCTTTGTGAGGCATGCGAAGCCGAGCAGCGGGAGTCCGATGAAGCAGCTGGTGGCCTTCCAGAGTGTGGAACTGAAGGGGGGCGAAACCATGGAGGTCACATTGGCATTGAACCCTTGTGACCACCTGAGCCGAGCCGATGAAAATGGTGTGATGATAATAGAAGAAGGGTGGCGCTTCTTGGAGGTGGGAGATCAAGAGTACCCAATCACCGTTATGGCCTGATATGTGAATTTGGCCAGTCGTTAATCTTGCAATTTAAGGATTTTATTGCTTCCTACATAGTTCGATTAGCGTTTCAATTGGCAAGTGTAACAAGAAAAGATTCGAACGGCGACTTCTCCCTATTTGCACGTGAAAAGGATCAATAAGGAATGAGCATAATGAATTTTCAAGTAGTTTTCCATTAATTCCATCGTCTCGAGAACTGGTCGTGTGCCAAACTATGTTTGCAAGCCCAATTTGCCTATTTGTAAAGAATAAAATGTGGACGATTCACGGGAGTCATAAAAGTCTCGGATTGTCCATGTGGGAGAAATTTACCGAGAATTGAATTGCAGGGATCAATATTGAAACTTTTTCCAAATTGGAGTATCACTACGGAAAAGGGAAATGACAAGTTGAGGGGACAGATCTCTACTTAAACCTGGTAACACATCTTAGCTGGTTCAGGTCCACCCAGATCTTATGCTCGGAACGGATTGGCCAAAAGTACACGATTAAAGGGTACTAGAAATTTAGAGGCGATAAACAGCCACAATCAGAATGAGAAACTATAAATCATGTGAAAAGAAATGTTACAGAAGAGCTACAGCCATCATCATAGTCCGGAATGTTGTCAAAAACTTCACTAAGAGTCTCATTAACATCAACAGAACCAACATGGAGATATAGATGAATACATACGATTGCCTACCAAGCGAACAATGACTGACACCTACAGATTTGCCTTGTCTAAATGTGGCAATGACAAATCCAGGATCATCCCTGGCATGCCAAGACATGGGTGGAACAGTTACTTCACGAGTTCCATCCTGGTGTCGGTAATCACAAAAATCAAGACTGTGCCCACTAAAAACAATCCTGCAGTGACATGGAGGCATATAGTTGAGCTACAAATAGAGATGAATACAGCCATAATAATTACATGATAATAATAATAGATCTTACTAAAAGGGGCTAATTTTAAGAAAGCGAGATAATTCTGCTTTAGACTAATCAGATTGGCATTACAGATGTCACCCAGCCAAGGATTTTAATATGCCTTCCCAGGATTTACCTCACTTCTGAACTTCTATATTCCATAACAACCATATTCTAAGAAATATGTTCTCCAACTGTGACTATGTTTATCATCAAGTAATTAACATCATCCCTTTCTAAATGAAGAGTTTTGTATAACTAAAGTCTACTCCCTAATTGTGGGTAGATCTTGCTAAATGTCACTATACCTTGGGGTCACTTAAACTTTTTTCAATAGCATCATCAAACTTTGAATTGGTGTTACCCAAAGTCACATTGTCATGAACTTGGAAATTACTTTCTAGTTATGAACTTTTCAACCTATTTTTTGACCAAAAGCTAACATGTCTTTCTCCATGACATTTTTGCAATTGTGTAATACTGACATGGTGTCCACATGGCACCAATAATAGCATTAAGGTAAAAAGAAAGCAGGGAAAAAGGGTTAGAGTTCCAGAGGGCCACACAACTTTTGCTAACAGTGGTAGAGGCCCAGAGGGTACTTTGGTGGACAGAGGATTGTCACCGTCTACCACAGTTAGCAAAAGGGCATGACTCTGCTGCAGCAAGTGAAGGGTGACCTATGTCCTTTACGCACATTGTGACCCTCTGCAACAATGCTCTCTCTCTCTCTCCCTCTCTCTCTCTCTCTCTCTCTCTCTCTCTCTCACGTGAAATCAATTGGAAATCAGGGTAGAAACGACTGAAACTTTATAAAAGCCCAGAGCCTCGATGAACTGAGAATACTGTAAAGATTATGGCAAATAAGAAGCACAAAGAATTTTCTCTACCTTGGTCTAAGAGCTCGGAAGATGTATTCTGTTGCATTTGGAGGGATAGTGTGAGATAACTCATAGGGCCCAGTCCCATCAAGCCTCCTGACCAAAAGGAATGTCGACAAAGGGACTAAGAAATGGAACTTCCAGTAATTCAACCATAGTTATCCAAACAAGATAATAAAAGTAGAATGGTCAATCAGAATCCTAAGCATCTAGTCCATATAGTGAGCATAAACCAAGCCACTAGCATCCAAACAAGGGAAACCTGCAACACAATTATTTTCAGCTCGTCGCGCATCGCATTAGCTTATTATAACTTTTACACTTCAAGGGGTACTTCTCTTCCAAACTGTAGCGCATTTAAGCAAAGACAAATACTGTTATATTTGTTATTTTAACGGATCCTACTATCATCCTATGTTTCATTTGCAGCTTATCCTAAACATACTGTATAGCCCTGTAAGTTAATCTCCAGGAAATTACTGCACCACATCTCAAAATACTGGCCCAGAGCTTCTTTTCTATGTTTGCTTTCATTTCTTAGCAATTTGGCACATTCATGTCTTAAAAAGATTTGGGGTGTTTAACGTACAGAGAAGTTCCACATTTAACGTTATGGCAACTGTTAAATGGCTATCCGTTGCTCTACTCTCAAAAAACTAAAGTAAAAAATTTGCATCTTTTTTAGAGCAACAAAAGACAATACTTCTCAATATTATGTTCGAAAACTTGTCCGCAGCAGTACAGGATACATTTATGAGGGATAACTCCATAGGTATACTAGTTATATCACACACATGACTGAACATGTGAGAAGAAGAAGAGTCGCTTTTATAGAAATGTTAAATGAAAACTAACAACTACAATGCAATGGACATTGACTTCTTACAGCTATGATGATTAAGTAGAAATAGCAGAATTAAGTGTACCTCTGCCGCAGTACATTGACATCCACCAATGAGTTGCTATAAGCTTTCCGATGACAATGTTGCCCATCATTCCTGCTCCTTCCTGTTGGGTGTAATGGGAAGTGAAGCAAGAGAACAGGACCAGAGCCAGATGCCATAGAATTCTCTCTCCATGCAAAGTTTGGAGACATTTCCTTATCTAAACCTAAGTCATTGGTCATTTCTGTTCTTGACCCTTCCATTTCGGTCCTGAAATCTGAGCTTTCCCTCTCTATCATTTCTTCCACGCCAAATCGTAGGCCATTGTTGCCACAAAGCAATGCAACACTGTTAAGAGAGACGAAGGTAATATTCTCCATCTCAAAGGCACCACAACCAGCTGAATCTAATCCAGGGAGATGACTGGATATCCAGTCGACCAACTGAGAATCTAGTCCCGTGCATTCTCCAATATCCCTGTCACCCAAAATGACATGGAAAGGGAGGGTAATAAGGGATCCTATCAATCTATGAAATTGATGAAGTACAGGGACCCATTTGCGTCTCGTCAGCTCTGAACCTCTGGCAGAAAAATCGCCCAAGACCACCAGCATATCAGGCTTGAGAGTTTGAAATGATTTCTGTTTACATATTACAAAGCGAAAAGAAGATATAGAGTAGGAAGCAGAAAGAAATGTATAATAACAAGTTTATTAACTATTCAGTGGTCCATTACCCTATAACTGAGATTGACCATAAGCACTTATATTGACTTTCTCCTTGATTACTTCAGTATTCAAGTGCTATAATTAAAAGCTCAAAGATTTAGCAAGTCTCATTCCTCGGCTCTCTAAGAAATCTGATCATTTAAAAAAAAAAAATTGACATATTTACAGCAGAACGGAACCGGTGCTTTCATTCCGTCACCTATTTCGGGCCAACTATCAGCAAATGTGCCCAGTCATTCCACTAGTACACGAAATCCATGCACAAGAAAACATTAATGTAAGAATGCCTAATGCTCAATGAAGTCATGTTTAACCCGAGATGCAATCAAGAACAGATTATGTGGAAATCACAAAGTACCCCATGTGCAGATGCCGAAGCCGCTGCGAAAAGGTAATAGTCTTTTGCACAAAAAAAGAAAAAAAAACTAAGCAGCAGCAGCAGCAGCAGCAGGAGGCTAACAAATTGTATCAACTAGAGTAGTAACATAGCCCAAAAAGCTAACATTTTTCTGCTTCTTTCCCAGTGAAAGTTCTTTGTCCACATCGAGGGAAGATATCATCTACCAGCATTATTCACCCACGACTCCTACCCACAATCCCAATCAAAGACGACCGCAATTAAAGCGAACCAAACCCAAAAGACAAGACACAGTCCAACAACATACCTTGAAGAACTTGTTGAGGTAATAGTCTCTGAAGTAGGTGTCCACCAAACCGTGGTCGGACCCCACCAAGAGCAGGTCGGAGACGATCATCGCCTTCAGATCGCCGCGCCCCTCCGCAGCGCCGGCGTCGCGCTCGCCGCGGTCCGCGCGCGGGACGAACCTGCACGACGGGGTGGAGATCCACTCGTCGAGGAAGAAGAGGGAAGAGACCAGCAGCAGGGGGAGTGCCGACCGCCACGAGACCGGCATGATTCCGAGGGGGACCGAGTTCGAGTACGAGGAAACCGGAATCTAGGGTTTCGAGGATTCGGAGGATCCGCCATGTTTGCTGCGGTGGCCTTTCATCTGCTTCGATCACGTTAACAACGTTGGACTGTGCGTCTCGTTGCGGCTGAAAACGGTCGATGTCAACGAGGAAAAGGAGACTTCCAATTTCAGCTCCTTAACTTTTTGAATCGTCCAATCGAAATCTTGGATTCTGTATAATATTCCAATCAAATCCCTCCGGCTCTAAATTCCGATTGATTAGACCGCCCTTTATTCGTTGTGTCGAAAAAAATCTTGACATGACAAAACTTTTTGCTAACATGATTATCAGCTGATGCACGACATTAAAAAGCCACGGTCGCGTATTGAGCGATGAGATTATAAGACGGGCTCGAGCTTTCCACCTCGAAATTCTTCTCGGCTTTATGCCGATTCGAGGAGGCCACCACTCATCACCAAATGGTCATCTTATGGAGTGAGATCACATTTGTATCGTATGAGAGGCTTGGCCCATTGGCCAAAATCATTGAAGCAGCCAATAAAAATATAATTTTCACGCGGTACAATGATGTGAGCAAGAAGATTAAACGAACAAAGTAAATAACGTGCACAAAGGCGAAAGAGACTAGGGATATAAAAGCTTGCGTTAATGTATTTACAGTGGTTCAGTTCCCGGTTACTCTATTTCTTAAATCCGCTCGAGAGTTTCTTCAAATTCACTAGCACAATCCAAATATTACAAAAGGCCGATTGATCATGGAGGCCAACTCTCCGATACAAACTCAAGCCATCTTGACTGTACATCGTACACTCCTCACATAAATTAATATATGTCGAAATGGGTTAAGTAGATTATATTGGGTCATCACAAGTAGATTTTTGAGTTGTTTCACTAGTGTGACCCGGTATCCCATGGCCGCCATCTTGAATGATCAAATCTCAGGCTTATGAACAAATATATATTACCCTCAAATTTGGAAGAGTTTTGTGTAATATCCCAGAAATTTAACTCACAATCACCGTGCATTTACATTTTAGGGTTAATTGCACTAAGAACCCCAAACTAATAAGCATGTACCATATTTATCCCAAACTAATAATAGTATACTCGTGTCACATGTATCTCACACTGGTGTACTAGTTCCTCATTTACCCAAAATAATTTTTATGTCACAAAAAATCATAAACTTGTACACCCGTGCCACATTTTCGCCAAACTGATATACCTATGTCACATTACCCCTAAAAATACAAAATTTATCACAATTTGGGGCAAATGTAGCTCAAGTATATCAATTTGGGGTAAATATGGCACATGTGTATCAATTTGAGATTTTTTTTTTACACAAGAATTAATATAGGAATAAATATGGTATGAATATATCAGTTTGGGATTTTTCTTATGGTATTAACCTTGTGTCAATGTGCTGTCCATAAAAGTATACCTTTAAATATCTTGGGATAAGTGCACCAAAAGTCTTAAAACTTGTTAGGAAAGTGTAATTGAATCCTAAAACTTACAAAAAGTGCAATCAAGTCTTAAAACTTGTCAAACTAGTATAATCAAGTCATTCTGTTAACTCCGTCTAACTTGACTAATGAAAAATGCTGACGTGACTTTTTTATTATTTTCTCTATCCTATATGACGATGACATGGCTAAAACAACATCGTTCTAATCCAAATCCGATTTATTATACAAAATTTATTTAAATTAAATTAAAAAGTAAGCTAAAAGAGCATCCTCGTCACCTAGTTTCCAACTGTTTTTTTTTCTAATTTTTTTTATAAAAAATTTAGCATACTTTTAATTTAATTTAAATAAAATTTATATTAAAAATCAAATTTAGAGCCTTATCTTTTGTATTTTAGCCATATCATCGCTATGTAAGAGAGAAAATATTAAATAAAACTCATGTAAATCAACGGAAGGACTTGATTGCACCAATTTAATTATATTTAAGATATGATTATACTTTTTGCAAGTTTTAAAATTTAATTGCACTTTCATAATAAATTTTAAGACTCTTGGTACATCCTTTTTTAGCAGTACGCTTAGGGCCTGTTTGGTAACATTTCTGTTTCTCTATTTTTCTGTTATTTTATTCCCCGGAATGGAAAAAGAATAGAAATCCGTTTAGTAACGTCAGTTAGTTTTTTTATTCCCCGGAACAGAAAAGTGGTCAAATAATAGATTTGGAATAGAAATAAGAAGTAAAAAAAAATCTACTTTTTTGTTTCTAGAACAAAAAAAGAAACAATAAAGATTAAATATCACCTCTCTCTCATCAAAAAAATATTCTCATACTAAACCTAAAATCCCAAATCCTAAACTTAAAACCCTAAACCTTAACCCTCAAACCCTAAACCCCAAAATCCTAAACCTCAACCATCAAACCCTAAACCCCAAAATCTTAAACCTCAATACCCAAATCCTAAAACCCATAATACTAAAATGAAAAACCTGAAACCCTAAATTCTAAAACCCCAAACCTCGAAACCCAAATCCCTAAAACCCAAACCCAAACCCTAAACCTTCTAAACCCAAACCCAAAACCCGAAACACTAAACCCTAAACCCCAAAACTCCAAACCTGAAACCCTAAAACCTAAACTCTAAACCCCAAAACTCCAAACCCGAAACCCTAAAACCTAAACCCCAAAATCGTAATTCAAAACCCTAAATCCTAAAACGTTAAACCGCAAGATCCCGAGCCCTAAACCATAAACCCCAAACCCTATACCTTAAATCCCAAACCCGAATCCCTAAACCACTAAACCTCAAACCCTAAACCTCAAACCCTAAACCCAAACCCTAAATCCCCAAACCCGAAACTCGAAATGCTAAACCTAAAACCTAAAACCCGAAACTCTAAAACCTAAACCCCAAACCCTAAATCATAAATCCAAAACCCAGAACCCCAAACCCTAAATCTCAAAATCGAAATCCTAAAACCCTAACCCCAAATCCTAAAATCCTACACCTTAAACTGCAATTTCCTCGACTATCACTCAATATTTGATTTGTTTATAAGGAATAATTTTCTTTATGATTGTATTAAGGTCATCCAATTCGATATCATAATATATTATTATTCTATTTCTAGTCCAATTTTATCCAAACATGAATTGTTAAGTCCCATAAACTGCAATTTTCTCGATTGCTTTGTCTATAAGGAGTAATTTTCTTTATGATTATATTAAGGTCATCCAATTTTATATTATAATATATGCTTATTCTATTTCTAGTCCAATTTTATCCAAACACGAATTATTAAGTCTTCACCGATAATTTTATAATTAAATGAAAAAATTAGGAGTAGAAATTTTTAGTGTCTTACCAAATGCATTTATGTTCTTTTTCTATTTCAAGAATAAAAATTTAGTATAATTACTAAATGCGTTTTTTTGTTCATAAACTCGTTTAAAAAATAAAAATAAAAAAAATTATTTCTAAACAGAAACGTGACTAAATAAATCCTTAGCCCTTTTACATTTTCCTCCTTTGGAGATTGAAACATGTGGGTTGCTCGATTTTCGAGAAATTATTAAAAGGTTGGGGGCGATTGGTGGGTGTGGGGGTAGGGTAGGGTAGGTTTCCAATGAGATCTGCCTTTGCGCTATCCAACAAAAGCGGGTTTAAGGGTAGTTAAAAATTAAAAGCTAAAGGCTAAAGCTTTTACCTTTCCAAATGGGCGAAAAGCGCTCCTCTCGTCTCCTTATCCCAAAAGCAAGGGGACAGAATAGGAACCAAAACTTCGGCAATGAATCGTGCCCTGCACTTCATAAAAGATTTCCTTTGCTTCACGAAAAATAAGTAATTTTGAAAAATATTTTTTTTAAGATCGGTCGCTTGCATTGCTTGCGTAAACGAATGAAGGTACCAAAAGAAATTTCCGCGACGAAAATATTTGGAAATGGATTGCGTCGCCGGCTGTGAAATCTGTAATAATAATTCAGAGGAAAGAAAATGTTGGGCAAGATGTGTTTTCTTTTGACGTTTCCATGTGGACAAAGAGGAAACGCACGAGCCGATTCCTTAGATCTCAATGCTTACCCTCTCGCGCCGTGCCGCACGAGAGAGATCCGCGTAATATTCCGTCGCGAAGCGAACCAAGAAGCAGCCACCACCACCCCCCCACGACCCCCTCCTTCTCCTTCCTCCGCCTCTATCTGTACGGACTCTCTGACGTCGAAGGTTGACCCTGTCTCTCTCCCTCCGTTGCTTCTCGGTCGTCAGCAGCAGCAGCAGCTTCTGTTCTTGTGTGGATCTCCTGAAGCGTCGGTGTCACCCTTTCTCTCTCTGGAACACTTGTGGGTCGCGTTTCTTGGTTCGTTCCAGGTTGGTGAACCTCGTTTTGGGCAATCCCCATCTCGTTTTGCTCATCATTTTACACCGTGGAGTACCGTTTTTCGTTTGTTCTTTTTTTGAATTTCCGGTGGATATATCTGGGGGAGATCTGATCCGGAATTTTTCGGTTCAGTCGGTGTTATTATCGTCTTCTTTGGGATAACAAGATCCCGAGGAAGTTGGGAGCTGAAAATTCGCCGGTCGTTCGACCGTTATTTTCGGTTGTGGATGGTCCAAATCCAATTGGGTCCTGCGAGTTCCTGTCGAGAGAGATAACTGGGTCTCTGTCACATTGAATTTTCCTGTGCTGTATATAATGCTGATTGGTCCAATCATGTCGAAAGTAATTTGAGCTTGTTGATGTGCACGGAGACGAAGTACACTCGCATTTTGCTTTCCAGGAAAAAAGAAGAAGATAACGAATTGGTGTTTCAGTGGAAATGCCATCCACATCCAACTTTTGCGGAACAAAGAATTTTCGGGATTTGCTCTTGCGTGATTGGTGAAAAAAAAAATTAACTTTCATTAGGAATCACTTAATGGCTGCGGTTCACGTTTCAATGTTCTATTTTCTTGATTTGTAGAGACATTGCTTCATTGAATAGTGGGTGTTATATTACTGACCTGTAAGGTTTGGACCATGTAATTCCAGAGATGGCCTCCTCTTCTCTTCTCTTCTCTCGAACTTATCCTAGCCAGATTGACTTACTTTTTGCCCCTGAAAAAACTGATTATCTAGAGAGTTCCCGTGACGAAAGTAGAAGTCAGCTTGTGTAACAGTAAGGTTGCTCCACTATAACCTGAGGTCATGAGTCCGAACCCAGGAAAAAACCTTCTGGCAATGTTAGGCTAAGTTTAAGTGTAATCCTCTCCTCAAACCTGAAACATGGAAGCTGCACTACAATTTCCTACTTTGTGACTTCGTAAACTATTTTTTTTTTTGGTCGAAGACTTTGTAACCTCATTAGCTGTCCACACCTTGTTTTGTTGAAAAGCTTGAGTGACTTGATCAAGAACAGTAGAAGTAATGTGACTAAAAGGAAATAAGGCTAGAGTTGCATGATTGCAACAGTAATTTACCTGTCAAGGTTGTCTTGTTCGCAGTTTTCATGATAGTAGACATATATGTAGTCTACAAGCCTGATGAGCTTAGTTTTAATCTACATCAGCCTTTTGAAGTACTACATTCCAAGAAGCGAGTTAGTTTGGGTTGATTTATTTGTACATCTATAAGGCAATGTGGGGACATTACAGATTGACAGTTGCTAACGTTTCACATAATATGTGTGAGAATTGGGAAGAAGAGAAAATCAAGGAAATAAGCTGAAGGTTTTGTTAGTTGCCATATTCTCTTGTTAGTTAACAGTTTTGTGCAAATGATCTGGTGAATATCTTTCCTAGGATTTTGGACAAGCTGTTGTTTACATTCTCAAATTTCCATCTCCTCCCTATCCCCCAGACACTCAATCTAGCATACTAGGATTACGCATTCTTTCTCAGTTTTTTGGATAATTAACACTAATTTGGGATCAGAATTTCTTGAAAGTTCCTTCAATTATGTATTTTTAACTTGAGTTTTGAACAGGGTTGTACTACCTCAGTTTGTTGATTCTTAAAGTAGACATTATCACTTAATTTTCATTTTAGCAATACTAATAACGTGCAAATGCCAACAGCAAAAGTAGAGACAATTCCTTTGGTTGTGAAGGGCCAACAGCTGAATCTAGTAGCGACTTCTTTGAAGCAATGAGCTCTGAGTCTAAGAAATCCTCTTCAAATGGGAATGAGAAACTTTTAACATCGGAAGAAGAGCAGGCAAAGGTATATAGAATATAGTGCCTGAGTTGGACTGTACCTTTCTACTCCCCCTTTCTCCAATTTCGACCGATGGGTATGCAAATATCCTGTCATGGGTCCAAACTTTTCTCCTTACAATGCTTCTTGTTTTATAGATTAATGAGGTGAGGAGATTGATTGGGACAACAGCATTGCCGGAGAAGTTATCAATTTATTGTTCGGACGCATCACTTGCTAGACATTTAAGGGCTCGGAATTGGAGTGTGAAGAAAGCAACTAAGATGCTCAAAGATACCTTGAAGTGGAGATCAGAATATAAGCCTGAAGAAATTCGCTGGGTATGTTGTATCGCATTGAGTTTCCAGTTTATCCTCCAAATTATGTTTTTCAATGCCACTTTTCTGATAGGAGGTAGTTCTTAATTGCTCTTTGGTTTTTCAAACTTCTTGTGGATTCAATCGTGACCAATTATTATAAGACTGGCAGGCATAGCCAATCAGGCCTGTACTGTTGCTTTTGTTTAAGTTTAATTAGGAATAGAATATTATCTTGACCTAACTGCGTAATGTGAGTGTGTTCTTCTTATTTTGTTTCGCTTAACTGAGTAATAATTGAACATTCTCTGCTGAGCCAGTTGAGTAGAATTTGTGAATCTATATATTTCCAAGCCTTTTTGACGCAGTTCAATGTATTGAGCAGGAAGACATTGCTCATGAAGCCGAGACTGGGAAAATCTACAGATCAAATTATATAGATAAACATGGCAGGACAGTTCTGGTCATGAGGCCTAGTCGCCAGGTTCCATCATTCTTCTTCCTTTCAGGGTTGGAGTGACGTTTAAATTGATTTTTCACCTAGAAGTGGAAATCGTGCAGGAGATGTTAGGTCATGAACAAATCAATTTCTTTATGCAAGTAAATGGATTTTTGACCAGTTATCATGTGATGTATGTTGGGAAATTCCCATTATGAGGAAAGATTATTTCATAATTCATATGTTGGAATAGTTGATCTTTTCAATGAAACTGCACACTGTATGAAAAAGATAACTCCCTTGCTAATACTTGTGTGGCTTAAGGTAGAGTGAACTTGAATTGTACGCACAGTCTAACGAGAAGGCAACCTAGTTTATTGGAATACAATGCCATGCACTGCCTTAAAATTGTTTTCTTTTACTTGGTTTTAAATGCAGAACTCGAAGACAACAAAAGGACAAATTAAATACTTGGTTTATTGCATGGAAAATGCTATTTTGAATCTGCCATCCGACCAAGAGCAGATGGTCTGGCTGATAGATTTCCAGGGTTTCAATTTGTCACATATATCAGTGAAGGTGACAAAGGAGACGGCCCATGTATTACAGGATCAGTACCCGGAACGTCTTGGTGTTGCCATTCTTTATAACCCTCCTAAATTCTTCGAACCATTCTTTTCGGTATGACTATATCTCTCTCCATCCTCTCCCTTATGTCTTCTGCTATAATACTTTCACCTCAACACTTTTGCACGTACCGTTAGTACTATCATATACGTACCCTTTTTGAAAAAGCAGATTAAATGGATTAGAACTCCCTGCATGAACAGCATTTGTCACACTTGTTACTTTTTCATTTACATGAACTAAGCTAATAGGAAATTGTGATTGTTGACTAGTCTGACATGTAATATATTATGCTGGATACGGTCATTCTTAATAAGTCGGAAGCTGTAACACTATATTGTATTACCGCAGGTGGTAAAACCCTTCCTCGAGCCCAAAACTTACAATAAGGTAAAGTTTGTCTACTCGGATGACCTCAACTCGAAGAAAATAATGGAGGATCTATTTGATATGGATCAGCTTGAATCCGCATTTGGTGGCAATGATGCTACTGTTTTTGACATTGGTAAGTATGCCGAGAGGATGAGAGAAGATGACAAGAGAATGCCGTCCGCTTGGACAAGAGGGAACAGTCCGTCAGAAACCCAAGCAGCAGTGGTAACTGTTTCCGCTTCTTTAGATTCCATTGCTTTATCAGATTCTGATCCCTCAGACAACGAGAAGGCAGAAGATATGATGGGTGGAGTGGAGTCAGAGATAGCGTCCCCCATTGATGCTGTGGCATCAACAAATATAGGCGATAACCGCGCTGCAAGCGTGCATTCTTAAAAGAAAACGAGTGCAAGCTTTGATGTCATTCTAACCTTGACATGTAAGTGCGGATTTTGCACTCTGACCATTCTGGGATTCTAGTTAGGGCTTGAACTGATCTTCTGTCAATTATTTAGAATGAAGTTGCCTTGTTGCATCAAGTGACTTTCTAATATGGTGTTTCAGGTCATGTTCTCTGGTGCTTTTAATAACTTCTTGTTATTCTAGCGGCTATACATTTTATTATAGTTTGTCGCTGAAGATCCATTAAAAGGGTTCAAGAATCTGGTTCCTCAAAAGGAGACTTCTCTTCCTTTTGGTGTAGACCATTTTCTTTGTTGTGCAACACATCCCAAGTAGTTTACATTTTTCAAATCTGAGCTGTTGTCGATATTGTTGTAGGCCAATGTTGCCGTGTTATTGAAATAACTATGGGTACCTGCAAAATTTTTCTGAGTATTCTCTCTGTTGATGAATTCATTGCCATCTGCGCTGGTCTACCCAGCATTATTGATGGCTCGACTGGAGTAGTCTCATTGTTTTTTTTTTTTTTTTGATGACTCAGGGAACCCCTGCACGGCCGACAGCCGGGAGGTAAACCCTGGGGGCGACACGTGCTAGCCACCACACACGTGCACCGGTTACGTCACCCTGCGACACCCGGGATTCGAACACTCAACCTTTTGCGAGAGGAAGAGTGCGCGCTCCAGCAGCGCCACCCAGGAGTAGTCTCATTGTTGGTCTTCACGCTGTGGATATTTGTTCAAAACATGTGTGCATACGTATATTTCCATATGATAATATTATATATGGATGTACGAAGAACATCCTGAGAGTTAAAAGCAATTTAAATTTGCCACAAGCATTAAACCGCCAGTTTTTCTGCGCCGTGTTACCACGTGCAGGATTTATTAGGATAATCACGTCTTGTTAAAGCACTCCAATGTCGGTCATTGGAACATCACCTGCCTTTCGCTCTATCCCTATTTTATATCTGTGTTCAGCACCCTTTCTTGCTATCCTAATCTTCATCCTTCTTCATCCATGACATATGCATATATCCGATGCAGCTGTATCCAGTGGTTGGGCGGTTTTCTCTTTGAAATGGAATTGCTATAATTGGTGGTAAGGTTGTCGCCCTTTGACATGATGAACGTGCTCTTAAGACATGACTTTCTTCGGACCGCACGAGATGTTTTATTTGTAAGATCATTTCACGTGTCAAGCACATCCTCGGACGTGGCATTCAGGAACGAAAACTTGCCACGTCCATCCGTTTTAATGTGTAAGGTGGACACAAGCCAAATGGAACATCCAAAGTGCAGAGTCTCTTCTTGTCCCCTTTTTCCTTCCAATAGATATTGCACAAGAAGTTATGTCATCACTACACCAAACAATTCAACTATTACAATCCTGCAGACATTACAAAATATTTTGGTAAGACCTAACCAAAGAAAAATGGGAATCGCATTCTGAGATAGATAAAGAGGTATATGTAACTTTTCTACTCTTCAAACTTCAATAATATGCTACGGCAAGCCAATACTGTCCTCGTCATTATGATGCAACTCGAATGCAGCCTCTGCATATAACCAGAACAGACAGAAAGGAGTGTTCAGAGCCATGTACTAGCAAGTTAAGAAGCCAAAAGCAAGGAAGAAAATCTAAGAGGAATACCTTCTAACTGCCTGCATGCTAATGTGACATCTCATCCAATTTCTGCCTGTACTGAGCCAATCTCTGTAGCAAAATTCATGACAAAGTACTAGAGTTACTGCTCTACCTCATTCTAATAGGCTGGCGACAAAGCTTTTCCACATTTAAACATATTTTTGCAAGAACAGTTGGACATCAAGACACTAGAACAACGTATGATGGTAATAAGCAGGTTCAAAATTTTAGGGAGGGTGAAGCAGTATTTTGATCTTTTGCAACACTAGCCAGTCCCCGGTATTCAAATTATCACCAAGGCTGGGCTTCTTGTAGTTAATGAAGAATGAAGATGAATAAGAACAAGGTTGGTGCATTTGCCCTCCTGACCATACCAGAGACGAGGCCTAATGAGCAAAGCAAGTAGAAACGCGTAAGCTCTACAATACAGCTATTGGATCAGAAAAGAAAATTGCATCGACAACAGAAACTGCTCCAAAACTATTTTAAGTCTTTTTTAAAAATATATATGTTCCTTGTGAATGATTGTTGGGAAAGCAATTCTTAGCAGTATCCATTTTCATCTCTTGTCTACGAGGTAAACTTGTCTGTGAAACAACTAGCGATTTTTTCAAATGTTTACGCCTAATTATTTTGAGAAGTTCAGCACCAGATTCAGCAAAGACCAATAATCACAAGATGTAGTCACCATTTAACTAAGAAACTCATTTTCAAAGAATTGGTTTGTAAAGCAACTTTTTTCCATGGCACATTCTCCAACCGCAATATTACTGTACTGAAGCACATCAAAGGGCCTGGGAGGCGAGTTCTTCAGAGCAGTTCTCAAAGACAATCTTACATATCCAACTGGCCTCTTTCATGACCTCTCAAATATTACTTTCCCCAACTCTGTCTTGTTTAAACTGTACGATTTCCATATTGTAAATGTTATAATTTTTAAAAGTGGCTGACACGAGCAGGATGAAAACCACTTGTTCATCTGAAATTTTCTTCCAAAATCTACAGACCAGACTATTATCTCTTGCTTAAGCACAATGTAAGGCAGGAAACGGGGAAAAAGTCAACCAATACCAAGATTAAATAGTTTCATTCTGTCTATAGCTCTGGAAAATAAGCACAATCAGAATTATAGAGTGAGACTCTCAGCAGCAGCATACCCTAGTATAAGCATAGACACCAGCTTCAGTAGGTCCCACTGGACTACCTCTCCTTACAAATCTTCCCTCTTTGAAAATGTAAAGTAGTGGAATTCCAGTTGATAGCTCCAAACTTATAACCTGCTTAGAAAGAAAATTTTACTTCTGACGCAAATCAGTATGAATACAAAAGATTTGCAGGAGCAATTATATTCACCAAAAATAAAATGGCCCTTCACCTCTTGAGAAGTTAATTTGTCCAGATACATAATGATGGATCTCAGTGAATTTCCATGGGCTGCAATCATGACATTTTTTCCAATGAAAAGTTGAGGTTCAATCTGCAAGATCAAGTATCCACCATAACAGGATAATTAATGACATGGATAAGGCCTTGTAAGATTTGGAAGGTTGATTGTCAGACCAGTTATTCTGTCATTAGCGCCGCCGCCGCCACCCCCCCCCCCCCCAAAATAAAAAAGATCCAGGAAAGTCATTAAACACCTCATCGCAGAAATACGTGACAGCTCTTTGAGCGCACATTTCCAAGCTCTCCCCATTGGGTGGGGGAATGTCATAACTTCGCCGCCACTCATGAACTTGTTCCTTCCCATATCTCTCTGCTGTTTCGTGTTTATTAAGACCTTGCAACTCACCATACCTACAACATTTAGGGTTTCTGCACATAAGTGTTAAATGTAGATGCAAAAACAGAAGAAAGATCAGAGAGGGCAGAGATCTATACATTCTTTCATTCAATTGCCAAGCTGTTATAACTGGAATGGATTGCTTTTTGGTCTCTTCACTGAAAATATGACCCCATGTCCTCGCCCTCTCATTCTCATCATGCAATATGATTGGTACCTACATGCAAGCTATAAATAGATTAAAACAAAGAAGAAAATTCTCAACAGCACTAGAGTGAAACCCATTTTCTAGAACTACAACTTCAAACTTAACATAGTCTGAGTCTAAAATTGCAGAGGACCACAACTCGTGAATGTCGCTTCAGGGTTTCTCATTCATGGAAGACAATGCTCATGGAACTGAACTAAGATATCCTAAATTATGCTCCTAGCCTATCAAAATCCTAGCCGGATCTGCACGTATGAGACACCCAATAGCCTAAACTACTCGAGTATTTAATAATCATCCCAAAGAGTTAGACAGCTGACAGATGGAAAATGTATGATTATTTATTTATATTGATGAGTCTGCATGGCAAGAGAGGGCTAAGCATGTACCTTCTGTTGGCGGTGCTGAGTCATGGCAAGCATTGCAGTCATCTGTGCACGGATTAATGATGATGCATATATCATGTCAACAGGTATGTTGCTAATTCTTTTACCCGCTTGAATCGCCTCTTCCACACCCTTCTTGGTAAGTGGCACATCAACACAACCGGTAAATAGGTTCTTTTCATTCCATAGAGACTCCCCATGTCGAATTAGGATCAATGCTGCTTCATCTGATATGACAGAGAAGACAGAATCATAAGATTTCACTCTAAAAAGCTGTACAGTTTTGAAGTCATTAGAGGGCACATGACTTTGTTTAGAGTTAATTATGTTTTTGGAAAGAATAATACTAGAAACACCAAAACTGATTCATAATATTGGTTTAAAGAGCAGTGTGGCCGAATTCTATTGGGATCTTGAATTTGGCCCACTTGTTCTACAACTTTGTCACATCACTCTAGTAAATCATTTCTGTAGACCGGCCTTTGTATCTTTAGCATCTAAAATTACTTGTCTGACAGGTCTATGCATTTGAGATGAAGTGGGCTAGAAGATTTTTCTTAGCGTAATTAAGCTAAATAGAATATACTCGTGCAGTCTTTAGTTGTTCACTCAAAGAATTATCTGTAGGCAATGTGGTAGAGAGTGAATGTACATACTTGATTTCTTTAATGAGTCACTGAAGTCGTTCCTTGAAAGTGTAGAAATTGGATCAGAAACTGATGTCTGAGAAGCTAAAGCTATGACGGCACTGAGTTTCTTTCTGCTAGATTGGCAAAGACTTCTTTCCGACCTGCCAATCTCAACCTTGAAAACTTCTGAAGATAGTCTCACTGAGCTCCGCCTCAAATCCGGACAAATGCAGGGTCTGCTACTTACATAACAACGAGAAGAAGAAGAAGTTCCAAGAGATGGACTACAAACAGCAGCCATTCTGGAGTTGCAGGATGAACCGCATACCCATTAGAGCTTAGAAGACATTAAAACCAACACAAGTATCTCCTTAAGCATACATTTTCAAACATTAGTCAAGCACATGTAAAAGATCCCACTTGTAAGATCTAACAACAGGATGGATGTGCTTCATCAAAAGGAAATTAGGTAAACAAAAGATAAAATAGAGTCAACAAAGTCCTCGTCAACGTCCATCAAAGAAGACTGCCGAAATCATTCTGAATTTCAAGCATTTGTAGTAAATGCCTCATCGTCATATCAAAAGGAGCAGCCGCGGAAGCACCCAATGTATTCAAGAAACCCCGAAAAAGTAAAGTTAAAAACTTCAAGCCTGTATAAGTACAAACCAAGAAAACAAACTCACCACAGATCTTATACAGAATCAGAAGGGACCATTTTGAAGATTCTTATACAGAATACAATCAATGTCCGATCCCACTGAAAAATTTTCAACAGAATCAAACGGAACTCACCACAGATCTTTAAGGTATGATGACAAAACGAGGAGAGAGCGAGTCCTAAGATGAAGCGGCCGAATATGATTTCTTTCTACTTTCGTTTTTTATTCATTTTTCCTTATTGCACGCACAAGGGATCATTCGACGACATGCCCACTGACACAAACAACACGCAATCAACAATTCACCACCGCAACAAGAGAACGACCACCAAGTACAAAGATTTATAACCGTGCAAGAACCCAAAAGAAAGAAAGAGACGAGAACAGAAGAACAGTCACCTGGAAAAAGCGAGTTATGATGCAATCATGTGGGAGGGAAAATCGTCGCAGTTCTCGTCGTCGTCCGCGTCTCCTGAAAGCGAACAACTGACGGGGTGTGATGCATCAACCTCCTGACAAGGCTATACTCTCTCTGACTCTCTCTCTCTCTCTTCCCAGGTTGGTGGGACTTTAATATGGCGGACAAGAAATATATAACAGGTGCGAGCTGTTGCTATTTGACTCTTGGAAAATTTCTATTTTGTATTTTGGCCCCCTACGGGACAATTCAGTTTTCGTCCTCCAAATTACGTGATATTTGCAATTGGGTACTTTGGATCTCTGAATTTATGCAATTGGAGACCCCAACTTGCATGACAACGTGATAAGGTAACCGGGGGAGAGGGTCTTTCATTATCATAAGCCTAGCGAACATCGCTTCTCTTAGCCGATTCCAACCAACCCTATTGAGGCTGGCCGAAAGCATACTAGCCTTTTTTAATGTCCCAACAGCTAGGCAATCGAGAGCCCTCTTGTTTCCTTAGTTGTTTTTCCTTCCAAGAAGGAGGGATTATCTTATTAAGGTTTTACATTCCTTTAAATCTAAAGGAGAGATCTTAGGAGCCGGAACCTTTTTAGAATCTACTCAGATCCAATGAGCTGTTACTATTTGACTCTTGAAAATTTCTTTTTGTGTTTTGGCCCTATGGGACAATTCAATTTTAGTCCTCCAACTTACGTCATATTTGCAATTGGGTACTTTGGATCTCTCAATTCGTGCAATTGGAGACTCCCAACTTGCATGACAATGTGTAGCCATTTCTCGATTTGGTGACGCTCTCAATAGAAACGTTTAGGAAAATGAAATTAAATTTTTGTGGAGTAAAAAAAGATTTAATTCTTTTTGACAATAATTTAAGAAAGAATAAATCATTGAGAATTTTGTGTATTTGGGAAAATGAATTTAAGTGCTGGTGAAACAAGAACGATTTAACAACTGACACCCCACCTCGAAGCTGGATTCCCCCAAAGTAAGGATTTTTAAAGGCAAACTTCGACGGCTCGTTCTCTGAAGGTTCAACCACCGGCTATTTCGCCTGAGCCGTTCTAGATGCGTCGAGGGCGCTGGTTGAGGGCATGGCGAGCTTGGCTCCGGCGTCATCTGCTCTTCAATCAGAAGCCCTAGCTTTGCTCGCTTCTCTCTCTCTCTTCAAAGCCAAAAAGAACGATGTGGTTGTACCTGAATCCGACTGTTTAATTTTGGTTACTTCGGTTAATTGCTCAGATCAACCCCCGTTGGGAAATCAGTGCTCTTATCTTGAGGGCCAGTAAAATTATGGGCCGATTTAAGAACTTTCTCTCTGGTCCATTACTCAAGGGAGTCTAACCAAGTGGCTGATTGGATTTGTAAGGCTTATAGATTAAATAGTTTATCTCCCAATTGGATAGTCCATCTCCCAACCCCTTTGGGATTTGCTTTGTCTTGATGCCCCAAACATGGGCTTTTCTGTTTAAGCTTTTTCAATTCAATAAAGTTGTTTTCGACCAAAAAAAAAAAAAAAACAAGAACGATTTAACTTACAACAGAGGTTAATGATATTGCTCTTGAGTGATAAGAAAAAAAATGCACTCTTAATAGGTTAAATTGAAACGATTGCAACGGGATTCTTCATGTATGGAAGCTGATGAAAGATGCCATCCAACAGGGCAAATTGAAAAATGAATAAATTGTTCCGTTTCAATTGCAAAACTTATTGGGTTAATAGAAAATTTTCAAGAAAAAGAATGCATTAACTTTCACACGGCGCTAATTTCAATGCCAAATTTTTTTCAAGTGATCATTTGAGTGCTACTTACATAAACAAAAACAACCAGTTCAATGCCATCAGATTTAAGCTACCGAAATTCCTCATGCCAATATGGAGATAAACTGGTACTGTTTCACCTAATCGATACTGTTTATTAAAACATAAAATAGTCGGGTACTGTTTCACCTAACCCTATGAGTATGTTTTAGGTGTCCTACGAGTGTGTTTTATTTTATCTGGACCGTCGTCCAACAATGTACTCTCCAGCGCCTATATAAGGCCATGTAATCCTTCAGTTTGGAATAAGAGGGAAAGTTGTAAAATTTCAAACTTCTTACTTTCCATGCCTTTCTAAAAATCATTTTCTTCAAAGCCTGGCATGATCCTCTAAGAAATGCAGCTCGGCCAATTAAGCATAACATCATCCTGGTAACTCTAAGCGTCTTTATGCTCTTAATTAAATCTCCGGGTAGTTTTGCAGTTAAAAAGTAGTTCATGAAGGGCTTGAACAAGAGGTTGGCCCGTGCGGGATAGCAGACCTATTGCAAACTGACCTTGTTTTCTCTGATTCTCAGCATAGATCCCCTAATTGGTATTAGAGCCTAGTTTTATGTCTAGCTTGGTTCGTTCAATGCGCTTAACTGGTGATTGTTCAGTGTTGCGAAGATCCCCTCTCTTCATCATGGCTAATCTAGATACAACTCCAATCACTCTTACTGCTTCTCTCACTCCATCATCTTCTTCATCATCTTTAGCAGAGTTTTGTACTCCAAATGCTTCTAAGATAAACTATCTCTACGAAGTCTCTCTTAGTGATGAAACAAAGATTTCCGAAACGCAACTTCCTCTCATGAACCCATACTCAGCCTTTGCCAAACCCACTTCATCTTTTTCCCCCATCAGGTGTATAAGACATCTCATCCGTCATTCTCCGAAAGAGGTCAAAGAATATGTCCAGTCTTCCAAATTTGACCAACACCCCATTCCTGCCACTGAAAAGGAGTACTTTGTTACTCTTCAAATTCCTCATGAATTTCCAAAACAGTGGATCCAACAAGGGTATTCGCATATTCACTATGGAGCAGTCCGTCTTGCTCTCACCTTTCATGGGAGAAAAGGCTTGCTTGTTGTGGCAAGAATGTCTCTTTTGGATACTAGGTTCCTAGAATACTAACATGTTTGTATTGGCACTGTTCAAACTACCTTAAATGCTGAAACAGTCTTTGTAACCCTTTATTCAAATTTTAATATTACCCTTTCAGATCCCCAGCTACTTTCTTTCTTGAAAGTTCAACTTCAGCTTACTAAAGCACCTCAAACTACCGATTAAATTGCTGCAACTCTTCATTACCAAATGGTGTATAGAGTCCAAAATCATGCCCTAGATCTAAATTTCCAAAATGGAAGTGAAGATGCACTGTTCATATCCATGCAAAATGAACTGTACCGGTTAGGTGAAACAGTACCACCTTATCTCCATCCAGAGTTATAATCATAGTCCGAGCTATCTGAGCTGTTTGTGTTAGTGGTCTGCCCTAAGAATCAATCAAGGTTGATACTCTAATATTAGTTGTGGATTAGGTTGTGTCGGAAAACCGATCTTCACTATACTTAGGTAGTCATAATGTGTTGCTAGAGACCGCTTATGACTTGCGGGCCAAAAGAGTTTTGGGTACATTGCTAATGTTTAGTGAACCTACAGGGTCGCACACAATAGCGAACGGACTTAATATTGTCTATGCGCCTTGATCTACTTAAGAAGTAGATTTTAATTTATTCTCCTATTTAAATTATCTATGCGGTCGTACGCGTTATGAGATAACGATTAAACGTACGATTGAAGGTGGACGGTTTGGCGGGCCCAAATAGCCCGGCCCACTTCTTTTAATTCCGCTAGATAATGAGGCTGTATAAATAGATAGAGAATCGTTCTCTGTCTAGGGTTTTTCGATAGAGTATCGAAAAGCAAAAGGCGTTCAAGAAAAAGGAACTTCAAGATCTTTCGCTAGCACGTGGATCGTTGGAGAATTTCGTTCGTGTGTGTGGATACCGGTAGAGGCGCGACACTTGGGGCGCTCATCCAGACACAATCAGTTGCTGATTTATCTTCGATCTGTAAAAGGTACGTACCGAAATTCCTTTTTGATTTCAATATACACATGGATCCTGTCTAGGGTTCTATATTCTGCTGCGTTGTTTTTCGTTGATGAACCCTACAGTTTGCACATTCATGTTCTGCTATTTGTCTCTGTTCCAGAATTTGTTTAAAATTGTCTTCAGTAATGACTGGCATTTGGTTCGAGGAAGAAGATTCATATGTAGAAAAGTCTGGAAGAAATAAGTTTTGACTGGTTCTTTCAGGCATGACTGGCTGGGGCCAATTTTTTATTTGAGCGTAATAGGAACTTGTACTGGTGTCAAGTCCAACGGATAAGGGCAATGGTCCATAGTCATAGGGATCTTGGGAGAGTGGTCCACCCCATGGGTCCTGAGATGCTTGTGCTAGATCTCCTGTGTCTGACATTTCTTGATCTTGTGATAATTCGAGCTGTACTTGTGCCTAATCGTATTCTATGAGTGCTTGTCTCGTTGCAAATGAAGATCCTTCGTGATCCCATGAAACAGGTGTGGTGTAATCCCATTCTCGTTGCAAATGAAGATCCTTCGTGATCCCATGAAACAGGTGTGGTGTAATCCCATGCTTTTTATGGGATATTACGATTTTCTTGGCATAGGATCCTCTGGAGTTCCCTGTAATTATATTCAATAGAGCCAATGCGACTAGGGAACGAATTATAGACACGTGCAACTTGAAGATGTGGCTGGGGCTTGTAGGTAGTAGTACCTACTGTTGCAAGAGTATCGGAGATTGTGCCATTGTTGTGCACAAAAGTCCATGGACAATGGAGGAGTACAACAGTGTGTGTTTCTGGATTATCTTGGACTTTTTTCAATTCTTCAAGAAAGAGCCGTTTCCAATAAACAGGAGAGTAAAACCATTTGAGCATAGTTAAAAGGTTTTTCTCGTGTTCATTTAGCGCAATGTGATCAGCCATAAGCAATTTGGTTAATTTGAGAAGAAATTTTCTGGTGGGAAACTAAATAGCTATTAAGTACTTATTGGTTAGGTACCATAATAACTATTTAAGTTTTTCAGGAAAATCATTTTCTTTTTAAATTAATGGGTGAATGAAAGGGTACCTCGAGTGTAATCCAGAAACAGATGACCAAATTCAAACAAAAGCAGATTCCTCATCCTCAATTACTCAGATGGGCTAAATGGTTTTCGAAATACTCATTCGAAATCAAATATATTACAGTAAAAAAAAATGTGCTTGCAGATTTCTCTCCAGACCAAAAGCATTGGCAGAAATCAACATGTATATTCTCAAGTATTCCTTCCCTCTTCAGCTAGAAAAGTACAAAATTGAAAGATTTCGAGAATGGCCAAGCTTGGAATGTCCTCAAGAAATAGTTGAGCAAATTCAAAAGGATAAGCTCACTGAAAATTTTGACAACCTCATGTGGCAATGTCACACTAACCTTTTCAGACTACATGGAGGCTCTATTCTTAACCCTTCTGGATTACACTTGAGGTACCCTTTCATTCACCCATTAATTTGGAAAGAAAATGATTTTCCTGAAAAACTTAAATAGTTATTATGGTACCTAACCAATAAGTACTTAATGGCTATTGAGTTTCCCACTAGAAAATTTCTTCTCAAATTAACCAGATTGCTTATGGCTGATCACGTTGAGCTAAATGAACACGAGAAAAACCTTTTAACTATGCTCAAATGGTTTTACCTTCCTGTTTATTGGAAACGGCTCTTTCTTGAATAATTGAAAAAAGTCCGAGATAATCCAGAAACACACACTGTTGTACTCCTCCATTGTCCATGGACTTTTGTGCACAACAATGTCACAATCTCCGATACTCTTGCAACAGTAGGTACTACTACCTACAAGCCCCAGTCACATCTTCAAGTTGCACGTGTCTATAATTCGTTCCTTAGTCGCATTGGCTCTGTTGAATATAATTACGGGGAACTCCAGAGGATCCTATGCCAAGAAAATCGTATTATCCCAGAAGAAGCATGGGATTACACCACACCTGTTTCATGGGATCACGAAGGATCTTCATCTGCAACGAGACAAGCACTCAGAGAATACGATCAGGCACAAGTACAGCTCGGATCATCACAAGATCAAGAAATGTCAGACACAGGAGATCCAGCACGAGCATCTCAGGACCATGGGGTGGACCATTCTCTCAAGATCCCTATGACTATGGGCCATTGTCCTTATCCGTTGGACTTGACACCAGTACAAGTTCCTATTACGCTCAAATAAAAAATTGGGCCCAGCCAGTCGTGTCTGAAAGAACCAGTCAAAACTTATCTCTTCCAGACTTTTCTA